GGCTAACTTTTCTCGGCAGTGGAATGGAGGAGGAGCTAGGTAGATCAAACTCCACGGATATTTTGATCTTTTAAAAACAATTCTTCCTCTTTCCCAAATACACTGTTAGCTGCTGCTCTGTACCCACTCCTCCACTCCCCTGAGACTTCTCGAGGTCATGAGTCACTGTTTTAAGTGGGCGTCTATTACATGCTTGGGTGTTTGAGAGCCTAATGAAAGGCCGGGAGTCACAGCCATAGAACATTCTCTTACAAAAGCCTTCGTTAAAGTCCTTGCGCTGCCCTCTCTGCCCGAAACCCACCCCAACCACCTCTTCCCAAGTGAATAAATGCCCCTCAAGTCAAGGCTTGGCTCAGGTGTCTCCACCTTTGTTAAGACTTGCTTGCTTTTCTAAGACATTTCTTCTAGGTGCACCAACATACATAATGTATACTTCTGTCACATTTTATGAATAACTTTTTATGTATGACTTTCCCATTAGACTATGTGTTCTTCAGAGATAGAGATTGTATCTTAATTTATGTTCGTATCCCTGTGCCAGGACGAGGCCTAGCATCTGGTAAGGGTTGAAGTATGCTTGAAGGAGGGAAAAATGAAATAAAAGTAAGGTGAGATTTTAAATGGAAACCAAAATGAGTGGATATCTATCTGTCCCTTACTGGTCAACGAATTTTTTTTCAATCTCAAATTAACTGGGATGTTAAAAAATATGTGAATAAAATAATTTTGGTCTTGATTTTCTAATTGTTTTATATAGTTACTGTTAGCAATGTAAACAGTATGCAAACCCCAATTTCTCCACCTGACTCTGGGTAGCAACTGGGTGTTCTTAAGTCCCCTGCCATTTCCTAAATATCAGCCTTATCTTCAAAGTCATGCTGTATTCATTATAAAAAGAAAGAAAAAAGAAAAAATATCTGCTTAGCAAGATTTATCAGCCTCGAAGTTCCTACACATGAGAGTTGTCTTGGTGACTTTCAAATCAGATCATTACGTGAAAATGATAATACTGATTGTGTCACTCTTCTGCTTAAGATCCTCTCTTCCATCCCTCCCCACGCTTGGTAAAGAGCGGGGCCAGCAGCCTGGCCTACCCGCTGGCCCCTCGCGATGTCAGCGCAGCGTAATTCTTCCTCGTTCTCTGACAGGTCTTCACTCTCACTCTGTATTCTAGCCAGGCCGTTGGACTCCCAGGTTCCCCACTTGCTCCTTGGACCTCATGACCTCTCGGAATTCTTCCTCTCCTGTCTTAATGCCTCCTCACTCCTGAAGGCACTTCTTAGAAGTAGCCTCCTTTCAGCAAACCTTGCCCGACTCCCAGCCCCTCCTCCCAGTTGGGGCCGGGCACCTTCCAGGGCCCTCCGCAGCGTCTCCTGTCTACTCCGTTGCAGTTTTACGTCATCCTGCTTCTTTGTTCTGCCTTCGATCTCTGTATTTCCAGCCAGACTTTGACACACCCAGGGGCAGGGACCTGATCTAATTGTGTGTGTCACCGGCACCTAGTCTAAGGCAGAGTCCAGCGTACACTCAGTGGATGTGTATCGAATGAATAAACCGAAAGTCATCTCTGCTTTAGTGTCCTTGTGCCTCTTCCTGCGTGACTTCTGATTACCGCGGACTGGCACAGTCCTGATGGCATACATCTGGTCCCCATTTGTTTTTGTTTGAAGTCCTGTAAAATGTCCTTTTGCAATTTCAGTCTTAGGGCTCTCTTATAGGTACAGGTCATTGCAGAGTCTTGGTAAATTGGAGCTTTCTGGCACATTCTGGATCACAAGTTTCTAGGGACATGTTGAGAACATGTCACTTCATTGCACTTTAAAAGATTCTTTTTTCCCCCTGTATATTGATCAGAGTCGTTCAGTAATTTAGCAGCTTCTTTCTTTTTGTCTCCAGTGGGGTAAACATCATATTAGGGGCTAGGGATACAGAGATGGAAAAGCACAGTGTGGGCCCTGAAGGATCTCAGTGTCGAGGCAGGGGGGTGCACAGGTCACAGGACTGTTTTAACGCAGTGTGGCCTGTTCTTTGTCCGGGGTCGACATCGAGCGCTTTAGGAACGCGTGGGGCCGGTTTATAACCTGGGCAGGAGGTGGTGGCAGGGGCGGCTTCTGAAGGCAAGAACTCTGAACTGATTTTGGAAAGACAGGTAGTGGGAGGCTTGAGAAAGGATGACATTTTGTTCTCAGATACCTGTGGTTCCATATTTTTCTTTGGAATAATATTCTCCCATGGTATGTGTGTAAGTGAGAACCGAATGAGACATTTCCATGTAATTGTCCTCAGTATACAGGTTGCCCTCCGTGGCTTCTGAACCTCTCTAGTTCAGATTCCATGGCTCACTTGGCCCTCAGAACCACTTATAATTTATTCTCAGTTCATCTTTTTAAATATAACCTTTTAATATTATAGATCAGGGAGGGAGGCAGTAAACTGTGGCCTATAGGTCAAATTCAGCCCACTGCCTGTTCTTGTACAGCCCTTAGCTTAGATGGTTTTTTACTTCTTTTTAAAGGATTGTAAAAACCAACCAACCAAAAAACAAACAAACAAATAAAAACCACAAAGTAATTCGTGGCGGAGACCACATGTATGTGGCCTGCAAAGACTAACATATTTTCTGTCTGGCCCTTTCCACCCCTGCTGTATCTAAACTGAAGTGCTCACTGGTGGTCATACATTACAGCATGAGCATTTCCCTTTCTGTAACTCTGCTTTTGTTCTGCTGTCTTTTTAAAATATTCACTATACATTCAGTAAATTGGGCATTTATTATGTACGGGTCATCATTCTGGGTTCTGGGAATATAACGGTGACAGACAGTGAAGCAGAGAGAAACACAGGACGTCAGTTATGAAGGAAAAATAATGCAGGGTCAGGAGAAGGGGACCTGAGCGAAGCACGAGAACAAGCCGCGAGGCCTCCTGGGGGGACATTTCAGTCGGGGGCAGCAAGTGGAAAGGCGCCGAGGTGAAGAGCAAGCCCTGTGGGGCCTGTCGCGTTTTATCCTCAGCGAACTGGGAAGCCACTAAATAGATTTGAGGAGAGCAGTGACGTGATCAGATTTGTGTTTTTAAAATTTCACTCTGCTACTCGGGAACGCTGGGGTAACCAGTTTACCGCAGGATCACAGTGGTTAACACAATAAAGGTTCACATTCCCTCATGCTCCTGTTCCACTAAGAGATGGCAAAGGGCTCTGTACCACAAAGTCACTTAGGGTCCAGGCCAGTGGATGCTCTACCATTTTGTGTTGGTGCCTTCGGGGATCAGCATCCTCTTCAACTGCCATGGCTGGGAAAGAAGGGAGACTGGAAATGATACGTGTGGCCTTGGCTCAGAAGTAACACACCGCTTCGTTCAGATTCCTTGGGCTGCATTGTGGCTCATCGTAGCTGCAAGGGGGTTGGCGAATGCCGGGGTGTCCACATAATGCCTGTGTCTAGCGATTGCCACCCTTTCTGCCACTTGGGTGGCCAGTTAGAACCTTTGCAGTACGTGAGAGGTGATGGTGGCTTGGGATTGAGTGGTGTCGGGAAGGGTGGTGGGGATTGGGTGGTGTCGGGATATGTCTTAAAGGTAGACCCAATAAGATTTGCAGATGTCATGGCTGACTCCTTAATTTTTCCCCTTCCTGCTATCTTATATTCTATACTAACTGTGATTTCTTTGAGCCCGATTCATGTTTTTATCTCATTTTTTCCATAGGCCCTGGAAAATAGATGTTCAATATCTATTTATTGAGTGGTAGAACAATTTATCCACTTGTCTTTATTTTACAAAATTCACATTTTTAAAATAGCAATAGCAAATTGCTGTCAGGGAATAGTTTTAGGAAATCTTTGTTTTTTATAGTAACGATGTGTGTGAACGATGTGTTATTTCTGTGGGCTTCGAAAAAGGTTAAGAATGAAAGTACCTCGTGGCTACTAGGATTGGTGAAGAAAATTGCTATTTTTCACTCTGGTACATTTTGGCAATCTCATTCTCTTTGACTTTTTGTTCATTCCATCATAGAAGAGTTTAGAGAAAATAAGTCTGCTATCAGTGAACTCGGTGTTAAACTTATATGTCATAAACTCACCCTCTAGTCTTTCAGCAATTAACGAATGAAAGTACCTCGTGGCTACTAGGATTGGTGAAGAAAATTGCTATTTTTCACTCTGGTACATTTTGGCAATCTCATTCTCTTTGACTTTTTATTCATTCCATCATAGAAGAGTTTAGAGAAAATAAGTCTGCTATCAGTGAACTCGGTGTTAAACTTATATGTCATAAACTCACCCTCTAGTCTTTCAGCAATTAACCTTTTTTTTTTTTTAAGTAAAGGGGTAAAAAACTTAAATGTCCTGTTAAATAAAATTCCCAGTCAGAAAAAAGGCCTTCTATCTTTTACCATAATATCACTCTGCATCTTAGAGGTCCTGGCTCTCTCAGGAAAATTAAATAAGGGTGACATATGTTTACACGCTACATTCTTAATAAGTGTCAGGCTATTTAGTTATTTTGAAAGATCGTTAAAAATAAGGGGAGAAAAAAACTTTTCTGTTGACACCGGTGATGAGGTCAAAACATTTAAACTTTGAAAAAGTTCAGCCACGTCTCGCGTCAACAGCAGGTTCTGTGACAGCACGCGGTGGAGCGCGAGGCCCGCGACCGCAGTGCTGAGCTGGGGCGCGCGTGTCCAGGGCCTGGGCCATGCGCTTGGACGCGGGCGCGGGGGGCTCTCGGCACTGAGACTCCACGAGGAGCTCGCCTTGCAGCAAAGGGCAGGTGACAAGATATGTAGTGATGAAAAAGTATCTCTGTTCACTAATACTGCAAATCACTGTTTCTGTTTTCGTCACAGAAGAAAAGCTAGTATACTAAGTCCTGCTCATTGGTTAAAGTTGTAGATATTAAAATTTCACTTTTGTTCTGTCTCACTAATACCTTATTGAATATACCACATGTAATAACGTAGGCTTGTCTCATCGTTCGATACTTTTTTTTCTGTTAAAGCTATCTGTGGAAGAACGTAAAGAGATGACTAGAATGGCTATTAAGACAGTCAAACATTTTATTGAGAAGCCAAAGAAAAGAAATTTGGAAGAAAACATTGAAGAAGCTAATGATTCTAAAATGACCTACATAGATACCTTGAATCATCTGGAGAAATCACTTGCTCACCTGGAAACTCTCAACCATAGCTTCATTGTTTCTCTGAAGAATAGTGAGCAGGTAATGAAATGAACACTCCTTAAGCTCAGTCGCTAGATACTATCAGCACGTTCTTTCATTGATCCGTCAAAGCTATGTTAGTCGTTTTGATAGGGTTTTCGATATTCCACATATCCCTGAAAATTGTCCTCAAGCCTTTATCCTTTAACTCCTTCATTAGCGCTTGATTGTCACTTTGGCTTTCACTTTTTAAAAAAGGATTTGGGGCCACTTCACGCAATTGATAACCTGAGAGGAAGCAGGCGAGGAGGTAGGAAGGGAGGGAGAGCTCGGGCCTGAGCTGAACCCAGTCAGGGTGGGGGCCCGGGTGATGGAGTCACCAAAGCTGAGAAATGGGAAGGACAGTGGTTTGCCAGCTCCACTTCTAGCTGGTTGGCGTCGTTCTCTCTAACTGATAGGACTAATTTTTTCCCCACTAATTTTCAGAAAAAAAAAAAAAAATCAGAAATAACCACCCATTTCTGTTTCAGTTATTTATTTTTTTTAATTGCATGTACTCATCCTGTTTTTACGTTGCATGTTTCCAGTATAACTTTATTAGTGGTATGAATTTTTTTTGCTAGTAAAACTGCCCATTGTTGGTTGCTAGTTGAGACCCTTGTGCTGCCTCAGAAAGCACCCCCCGTGAGATCAGAAGCCCCTGCCGCTCTGGGGTGTGAGGACCCGTGTGCGGGGCTGGGGGCGAATCCTCTGCGGCCTCTAGAGCTCTCGTTCTGTATTGTCACAAAGAACACAGTCGCGGGATTTTTAGATATCCTTTCTCATAACCGAAAAAGTTGACAACTCAATAAGTAAATGGTTTCATATAGGTGAAAACAACATTTAGATGTATAAATAATATTCCATTTACCTCTTTAATGCTATGGTAAATGAACTCGTGAGTGGCCATTAACCTCATGTTTTATTTTTTCTAGACCTTATATGTTTATTGAATTGTATTCTTAGCTAGTAAAAAAGTATTCCTCACTAGAAAGATCAGTCAGTGGAGGTGAGTTCAGATGAGGAACCAGCGGAAGACTTCACAATTGTTTGAGACACATAAACATAAACCCCTTGTGGAAAAGAAAGGGAAGAATTCAAAAGTCTGTTAGCTGTTGTGTTTTTCAGTGTCTTTTTTAGCCTGACTAATGAATAACATTAAATAATGGCCTGAGCAGTACAGAAGCCTTGGAAGGGAACACGTTGGCTGCACCAATCTTGATTTTATCCTGCCGACACTCACAGTGCTACAATCCATAATTTAAAGAACTAGGGCAAACATCAACTCTTCAAAAAAAAGTGATTTATACTTATGAGCATAAAATTTTTTAAAAAATTTTAAAATTTTTAAAATACTTGTCTTATTTTTTTAATTGTATATACTGTATTCAAATCCAGAAGATTGTCATTACTCTCCTTGGAACAAGTATTGTCTTTCAGTGACTAGAATGGTGCGTTGGGGCCAAGAAGGTTATTAACAAAAACAGCCGCTTGTTTCAACAAGGCTGTGATTTAAATGGCTGCTTGTGAATTAGCTTTGGGTCGACCATGGAAGGTCCGTGATAGGAAATGCTTCTGGTTCCTACACTGGGCACTATTTGATTTTATGAAGGCACCTTTCATAGCAAATGCTGAAAATAAACTTTCGGTGTCATACATTTGTCCCTTTTAAATTCAGGCCTTGATTTTAACCTCTCTTTATAAACCCAGTGAAAGAACATCTTACAACTCGTTAGGTTAGTGCAGCCTAAATGAAAGGCCTTCAACCTGCGGAGACTCAGCCCCCTCTTGTCTCTGTAAGGGTATTAATAATCGCCTTGCCTGATGAACAGGGCTTTTTCTCTTTTTTAATAGAAAGTTTCACAATGGGGAGAATAGTAAAACAAAATCTCATGTAACCCCCTCCCAGCTTCAACACTTATCAAAATGTGACCAGTCTTATTTCACGTGTACCCCTCCCTGCCCTCACCCTGCTCCTGTGGATTATTTTAAAGAAAACCCCCATGGTCTTTTGATTTTACCCATCAATACTAACATATCTATTTCTAAAAGACACGTTTAAACATAACCACTGCAGTGTTATCACGATCAAGAGTAATAGCGATTCTTCAGTGTAATCAGATATCCAATTAATGTTCACACGGCGGTTCTGAAAGACAGAACAGCATGCTCATGTTGCTCGCGAAGCTGCAAAGAACCTGGAAAGTGTTATTGACACGAAGTGGCCATATTTGGTTTGCTGAAAGCAATAGTCGGTGTCCTGTTTCTTAAATTATTTGTGGTCACATTGGTTTTTCCAGATATTATCAAAGAGGAATAGGCAATGTGGCATGGGGGCTGGGAGAATGAGATCTTTAGATTCCTGCTTTGACACCCTTAATGGCCAGCTGCGTGACTTTGCTCATGGTGACAGCTTTGGTCTTCAGTTTCCTTTTCGATAAAGTGGAGCTAATTGAAACTCCTTGAGGGATTATTATAAGCATTAAATGAGATAACATACGCACAATGCCTGGGTCTGTGTAGTTGATGTTCAGTAGGTTTTATAACTGTTACGTGGTTGTAGCACAATTATAATAGTAGAGAAACTTGTACTAAATGAGTGTTGCCTTGTGCCTGACATTGTGCTAAAGGACTGACTTTTATGTTATTTCATTTAATGTTCCCAACACCCTCAACTCACAAAACTCTATTATCCTCAACCTCATTTTACAGATACTGAAATTAAAGATCACAAAGGCTCACTATGAAGTGGTCAAGCGAGACTTGCACTCCAGCCTGGGCGGCCCTGGAGCCCAAGCTCTTAGTAACCATTAGGTTTTCTTCAGTGTGGTTTGTGGTTGTAATAATGTATTTGCTTTAAGAATCTTCTAAATGTTTCACTATGTACATCTAGACACTTAATTTCCATCGAATACCGTATTTAGGTGTTGAATACCGTATTTTTTTTCAGGAAATCCTGCAGAAATACAGTAACCTCTATGATCTGTCCCGATCAGAAAGCGGGAAGCTCCATGATCAAGCTGTGGCCATGTGTTTAGATGGCCAGCCTCTAAGAATGATTCAGCAGCTGCTAGAGGTGGCCGTAGGCCCTCTTGACCTCTCGCCCAAGGATATAGTACAGAGTGCAATAATGAAGATAATTTCTGCATTGAGGTAAGCTATAAAGTGGTCATTGAGGAAACCCTGAAGTGATAGTTTGCCAATAATAGTGCTCGTTTCGTGGTTGTTAGGAAGATAAAATACCATCATGCATGTAGAAGCATTTTATGAACTGCGAAGTACTGTGTAAAAGTGAGAGAGATTATATGTTACTAGATTTTGCAAAGTCTTATGTCTTGAGAATAGAGAACCCCGAAAATGTTCCATTATCAGTATTGTGTAATAGATCAAGAAATTAGCTAACTTCTGGTTAGATACCCCCATCCCCCCAATTATTCTTGAAATAAAGGAAAGGCCAAAATGGCATGTGAAACAGCTGTCAGTGTCATGTGACCTCAGGGTGGATTTTCAGATCTTGCTTTTTCAAATTTCCCTTCTTTGTAGCAGTGGGAAAATGGTTCCCAGAGGTTCTTTTGAACTACACAAGGCAAGGTCAGTCATATACTGAAGAAGTCAGATAGCTCTTCAGTGTCTTAGGACATTATTTACCTGCAATGAATGGCAAAAACCCACAGTTGAGAAATTCTAACTTTATGTCGATAAACTGATGTCTTTGATAGGAATGCATCCAAGGAGGATTAGGAAAAGGGAAGGTTAAACTAAGAAAACAATTAGGCATCAAGTGCTTTCTGTGAATAATGCAATTAGGCTAAAAGATTTAGTTGTGTTCAATTCATTCTCCTTTCGAGCATTCTTTGTAATTCTGTATTGCTCTTGAAGAACTTTTTGATTAAATGCATGTCAGTTTTCAGCAGCTGAACTGAAATCAAATGAGCCTTTATCAGTTTAATTACCCCAACTTCATATAGCTTTTTACTTAGTGCTCTGAGGTATCTGGTAATTTTATAGAAAGAGGAATAAAATGTAATATTTTTTAGAAATAACAAATGCCAAATTAATAAAGCTTTGTTCTATTATTACGTTATGTTTTGATGGCAGTGATGGCGGTGGTTATAAGAACCACTTTCCTCTTTCAAATGATGAAATATACTTGTTTGCCACATTCTGTATCTTTTGATTCAGTTATCATTTTATTTCTTAAATCAAGGTTTAGATGAAGCTCACAAAAATAAACATTTTGAAACATTAGCGCTTTGATGGATTTAGTTTATTTTCTAAAAATTGCACATTTTCATTAATAATTAAAGTATGATAGGTGATCATTTTACCTTTATAAAATTCCAACATAAGTATACTTTTCTCTCCTACCCTGCACCCAGTTCTACTAAAGATTTGGTTCTGATCTAATAAATGCTATACTTAATACACAGAAGATATTCAGTAAGTGTGAATTAAACCTTTTAGCAGTGGAAGGAAAGGGATCAGGAGTTCTGTGACTTTTTTTTCAAAGGAAAAGAAATTCTTAGTGACAATGTCCATAGGAGTTTACCTTTGAGAAAATTAATAAAATTTAGTAGGCATAAAATAACATAGGCATGAAACAACTGAGCAGCAGTTGATATAAATCATACAACTTAACGTAATCAGAACACTCATCTAAAACTTTTCCTTCCTCCGTTTCACTGGAGACCCAGACGTGCACGTGCGTGCAGTGGGCACGTCAGTACCCGTCGCTGGGCTGCCGGGACCCTAAGTGGCAGAATGTATGTAAAGCGCTCACCAGTGCCTGGTATCTGTTAAGTGCCATGAGAACCTGAGTGTTTTGATAAAAGGTCAAGTGGAGAATTTAGATGATTATTACATATTTACCATTTTAAATGCCTCGTGTATTTAATGATCATTGAATGTTCTTTGAATGACGGCATGCAAGAAGGTTTTGTTGTTCTCTTGATAGGAAAACATGCATATATTAGACTGCGAGCTCCTTAAGGGCAGGAAATGTTTCATTTTCGTATCCACAGCATCTAGTATAGGGCTGGGTACCCTGGCAGACTATACATATCACGGATGGCCATGGGCCGGCAGTGTACTCTGCCAGCATCCAACTGGCGTCACCTGAGTGTGGATGCCAGCCTATGTCTGAGGCTTGAGCGACCTCTTCTCAGTCAGATCTCCTCTCCTTCTCTTCACAGCGGAAGCAGCGCTGACCTCGGTGGGCCAGGGGACCCGCTTCAGGTCCTGGAAGGTGTTGTTGCAGCCGTCCACGCCAGTGTGGACAAGGGGTAAGACTAGAACAAGTGTGTGATGTCATGCCGTAGCTTTTCTCAGAGTCTCGGGATTACCTTTAATATCCATATTTCTGAAGCTTCCAAGACTAAGCAACATTTCTAGGTGTTTCCGCACGACTGAGGAGTGTTTTTGCAGATAGAGACACGGTTCCCCAGCCGAATGCTTCCCCCATCAGCCCAGCTCACCGTCTCCTTGGCCTTCTTTGCCACAGAGAGCGAGCGCGCTGTCTTCCTACCTCCCCCCTAGGAAGGCGGGGGAGAAAAACTGCTTTGAGCTTCTTAGAGAAGGGGCTCATGACCCCAAGAGGTTAACTGTATTAAGTACGGAAATTTCTAGAGTGTATATATTATATATAGATATTTTTAAAGCTTTATATATGTTAGCTCTGTCTTATCCGAGGACTAAGAGTATACAGGCTTTATAAGTCTGGAAAGGTATGTGCCTCTGATGCCATTTTTAGAAAGAATTTTTCATTCAGATGCAATCATACTGATAGGAATAATGGCAACAATGACAAATTAACAGTTAAGTGCTTCCCAGAGTTTGCAGAGATCTTTCCTGTGTCTGCTATCTGTGTCAGCCCTAAGATCTAATCCCAATTTTCATTTTTTAATGGAAAATATGATACAACAATAATGAAGTGTTTGAGAAAACTCCCCATAGTTCCAATCAGTAATATAATGGTATTTGTTTGTATGTTGCTTTCTACGTGGTTATTGTTCGGGGACAGATAGCTTCTTCTATAGTTTTGATCGAAATATATAAATACTTTTATATGTTATTTACTTGCTATTGTGACTTTCCCCCGTCATCTTGATAGATTTCATGATGATTACTTTTGGTGGCTGGATACAGTGCTGCGGTTTTCAGGTGAGGGTAGAAGAGCCTGGAGAGAGAAGTGGGCTTTTCCCAGAGCCGCAGACCTGGGCGTAGGACCAGGGTCCCCCCGGCTCTCCATCACGGTTTCGCACTCATATTTCCAGGCATCGCTTTGTGCCCAAGGTTTGAGCGGAAGAAGACAGGGTAAGCCGTTCCGGTGAATACGGAAGAACATGGCGAGAAGGACTCGCTACTTACTCTGCCTTTTGCTTTTCACTGTTTCTCTAAACCCCTTTGCTTGTTGGTCTTTAGATAGTTCCATAGCCACACAGTGGCTATTGTAGGCCTTTTATTCTAACGAGAAATTTAGTTATTCTGTACGTTTACCGTGTGCCATGCTCTGTGTTAAGTCACAAGGAGTTGAATGTGGATGAGAAATAACCTCCAACCCCGAGGAGTTCAGAGTCTTGCAGGGGAGACCAGACCGCGTTTAGCCCCTAGATGTCTAGTGCAGTGTGATAAGTGCTGTGCAGAAAGCAAGGTGGAGGGAGTGGTTTATTCTGCCTAGGGAAGTCGGGGCGGAATACACAAGGCGTGACATTGGGTCCGGCCTAGAAATTAGAGTTTGTTAGAAGGAGGAGGCAGATACTGGCACCCAGGCTGAGGGAACTGCCTGGGCAACCGCAGATTCAGCAGATAGCAGAACAGGCAGAGATGCTGCATGGGAAGTACTCAGCCACCTTCTAGAGGATACCTCTGGCCGCTGCCATTCTAATCACAGCTTGTCAGTCAATTCTCAGCTAGCGGCTCCCCAGCGAGCTGCTGACCTGGATCCTGGCCTCACATGATGAAAGGGATCTTAACAGGCCCTGCTTCACGCCCGTCCAGTGGGGTCTCTCAGTCTTGTCCCACTGGGGACATCCCAGAAAGATAATGGGCACCAGTGTTTTTCTTAGTGAATTTCCAGCCAAATATACAGAAGAATCCAACTTGGTTCTCTCGAATACAGACTAGTGTTTTAAGCTTTGATTTCCAAAGAGGAAGGCATCAGGGAATGGACATACAAACAAGATCTTTTCATTCCAGAGACAACAGTAAGAAAGGCTTCTTAACAACAACAACAACAACAACAACAAAAAACTTCAGAGGAATTTTTTTTTCTTTTGCTTAAAAAGAGAGAGAGAAGACGACAGACAGAGTCCTAATCTTTATTCCTGACAAGTATTCCTTGAATCACAGTTAAACCAGATGCCCTTGTCCTCCTTTCTCTCCCCAGCGGTGTGCCTGGCCGAGGGACTTGGGGATTCAGGCCCTTTTAAACGGACTCCCTCAGGTCACCCGCTGCACGGCCTGACATGACTGCCTGACCTCTAGGAGGCCACTCCAGGCCTGTGTGCCGCTCATCTTCCCTCTTGGTGGCATACACAACAAGCCGCCTCCACTCCCAGCCCTATAACTTGGATATCCGCTGCCCTCCATGGCATCTGTTTAGGTAGTAATTCACCTCTTCATATGCATTGTTAGCCTGTCAGCCTGCAAGCTTGCTCTCTCTTGCTTGCTAGCTCTCTTTCTCTCTCTCTCCCTCCCTCTCTCCCCTCCCCTCCCTCCTTCCTTCTCTCCTTTCCCCTCCCCTTTCCCTGCCTCACCTGTAACTGCCATTTTCACCTCCTCTTTTACCTGTGCTAAGTGTAAATCCCATAAAACCACAACACTTAGCCACCAGTGAAGTCTTCAGCCCCCTGTACAGCCTGCCCTGCTTTTCAACTTAACCACATTCTCTCCTCGAGACATCAGGGTTAAGTATTCTAGGGATTTGAATAAGTGTCAAAAACCTTGGGTTACATCTACAGTTAAAGATGAGAGTAAGGTGATTAATTATTCAGCGGCTTACATGTATTAAATTTAATGTGTTTGATTTCTCCCGTTTATGTGTGTCTGGAACATCAAATTTTGAGAATACAGTTGTCCCTCGGTATCTACAGGGGACTTCTTCCAGGACCCCCGCAGACACCAAAATCCCCAGTGCGCAAGTCCCTTATAAAAATGGCGTGGTATTTGTGTCTAACCTGCATAATCCATCCGTATACTTTAGATTATCTCTAGATTACTTATCATACCTAATACAGTGTGGACACTACACACACAGTTATACTGTATTGTTTAAGGAATAAGGACAAGGAAACAAGTCTACATGTTCAGCACACACACACGTGTGCACACGCGCACACACAAGGAAACAAGTCTACATGTTCAGCACACACACACACACACATGTGCACACACACTCACGACCATAGTAGCCTAACTGCTTAATCAGCAACAACATAACATTTTTTTCAAATATTTTTTTGATCTGATTGGTGGAATCTGCGGATAAGGAACCCATGGATACAGCAGGCCAACCATGTGTTCTATATTCTAGTTTGTGTTAAGAATTAGTTCATTAGTTCACTTAAGAAAAATAAGTATGTTTTAAAATTCAGTAACTAAATGTTTTAAAATAATATATTCATTTAACCTGAAATGAAGAAAATACTAAGGCACATTTCAAAAATAAAAAACTAATGAACACCCATTAGTCTATGCCGAGGCCTTTGAAAGGGCACTTCAGCAACTCAATGGTCAGAACAACCCTATCCTACAGATATTATTATTATCTCTATCTTCCAGATTAGAAAATGAACCTCAGAAGGGTTATGTAACTTTGTCCAGTGTCACCCAGGTAAGGCCGTGCTATGAATTTCTGTCACCACAGCTATTCTCCTTCTGAGATTACAGAACCCCAAAAATGGACAGTAAGGCGATGCTTCTCAAACTTTAATGTGCATAGGAATCGCCTGCTGGTCTTATTAAGGTAACAGATTTTACTTGAGTAGGTCTGGGTGGAGCTTGAAATTCTGCATTTCCGACCAGCTCCCAAGTGCTAGCCAGCTGGTCCATGGCCTGACCTTTGAGTAGCAAGGTCTTCAGGCGTTACTTCCCTCAGCTTTCCTGTTTCTTCCATGAGCTTCTCTCCGCACTGGCCTTATTTTCTCTTACTTCCTGCCTTCACCATACCTTTCAAAAAAAATTTTCCTAACAGAACATCAGTGATTTTCAAAAGGATGTACAGAATTCAGTCCATTCAAGAAACAGGTCATGAATGAGGAATCCCTCTGTGCACTCTTCAAACAGGAAAAAAGATTTCCCTCAAAACTATTGAGTATTTTAGGAATTTTGGTTGTTTATTTAATTGCTACTGTATCACAGTACCAGTGTGTCATCTACTTGAAGCTCTATGTATATTGCTCAGTGTCAGATCATTTAGATTTCATTGAACTCTGTTTGATATGACTTTGGGATTTCACATTATTTGTAAAGCACAGAAAAGCCAAAAAGGAAAAGGAAGTCCACTAGAGCAAATTAAATCCAGTTTCTTCTCACTCTTCCTGCTCTGTGAGGCAGAGTAACTTATCAGAGGTTCTGGAAGCTCCCACGGTGTATGACTGTTACGATCTGTGGTACTGAGCCCTGCTGAAGGCGGTGGCCACCAACCAGGGTGGTGGGTCCACTCTACCACTGCGACACTGTGGGGGACCCCGGGCTGTGTTTATGAAGCCACAGCCGTCATTTCTGCCTCACTGCAGTGAGAGGTGTCCAGGCTTTCATTGATGCGTGAACCTCCGGGCGATATTCTGGATCAGCATACGTTTGAGAGTGGCCACAAAGTGGTTACTGGTTGTCATCAAAAGTTAAGATTTGAGATCGGAGTTGTGTGCACACCAAAATTATTACCTTTCTAGAAATTTTTCTTTACTATAACTTGATTATGATAATTATTTGAAAAAAAGTCACACTTTGTATACTACCGAAATGCCATTTCACGCATTATGCATTCCTTTATTTGCAGTTCTGTCTTATTCTTTGCCAGTTGCCTTACTTACTTCATGGGAGCTGATAAACACACACCGTTATCCTGGGGAGTATCTGCTCCCTGGCTCCATATGTAGCGGGGGAAGTATGTGTGGTGGGCAGATCGAGTCATTAACTGCAGCAAGGGACCTACTATGTCTCTCATTGTCAGCTCGCTTACACTGACCTGCTTGTCCCTCCCTCCCCTCAGCTCCCCCTCCCTCCCTCTCTCCCTTAATCTAGTTTAGCATCTTGCAGGTCAGAGTTTGCAAACTCATTTCCTGTGGCAGAGGTCCACCAGGCAGGTAATGGCCGTGAACACTGGGGACTGGGCCTAGGGAAGGCAGGAGCCTGGAGGCTGAGGGGAACTCGAGAGCTCCTGGCGGGCTCGCCTTGTCTAAATGAGGCAGCCACCGCTGTCTCCTTATCTTCCAGCTTTTAAAGAGGAGATGGAAAATCTTGGTGTGTATTTTTTTTAAATTTTGAAACACTGGCATATACCGTGCAAGCCAACGCAAAAATTCGGCTGCCAGTTTATAACTTCTATATAGAAGATTGGGCAGAGTGACCTTATGTTCCCTTCAGACATTCAAATTCTCTGACTTTTATACTTATTTACGAGAAATTGCAAAGATCTGTGTTTTTCCTATGTGAACGCGGTCTTTCCTTCCCCCATTCTCAAGAACAATAATTTTAGTTTGTGTAGTGCGTTGTGATTTATAAATCGCTTTTCATATTTACTATCTCTTTTAATGTACTTACCACCAACATTTAAGGTTGGGTTTATTTTGCATGTATGTGCCATGCAAAATCTGAAAACTTTTACCAAAGATTTACCTAATTTTATTCTTAAAATCTGTCTTTTTACTTTGATTCAATAATTACCTGTCTGTTTGACGTTTTTCTTCCATACCTTTGTCCTTTTGTAACTATTTTCTCATGCTACGTTACATAACAGAATATCACTGTCTCAAATTAATCATTTAATGAGCACATTTTTGTTGTCATTCTTACTGCTATTTTTTCTGTTAATAGAGCTACTTGTATATTTCAGGTGACTCCTTAACTTTTGGCCCAAAACTTTGAATGTGTTTCCTTTATTAGTTAATTTTTTAGATAATGGACTAAATTACCCCCTCCCACTTATTGTGGGAAACAAGGTAGAAACAAATGTCTGTGTATTTGCAGTGAAACTGTGAGATCTTTCTTTCCCTTTTATCTATTTTATAACTTTAAATCATTTGGATAACTTTTATAATAAAGTAAATATGTTTCGAAATAATGTTTTCTTTTTATTCCTAAGCTCATTAAATCCTCTTTCATAAAATACTATAAAAATGGAATTACTTTCCTTCCTATTGTGTTTTTTTTTTTTTTACATTATAAAGCAGAATTGGTTATTTTTCACCTACCTATTTATCTTAAAAATTTGAAACCCACAGAAAAGATACAAGGATAGAAAAATAATACTAATGTACTCTTCCTGTTGATTTGCCAATTGACAACATTTTATTCTTGCTTTCTCTCAATTTTCCTCTCCTCGTCTCTGTGTATGTGTGTGTGAGTGTGCATATTTGCTAACTCATGAGAGTGACTTCAGATTTTAAAAACTCACATTGGAATCAAAATGTGAACTGTTTTGCAGCTCAGAACTTGAGGGGAAAGTGTCTCGTCAGTTCCTTGACAGCGCAAAGAGCTGCCTGTCATTTCCGTGTGCTCGTGCTGAGCCCGGAGTTCACCTGGCTGTCCTGCGAGGCGCTTGTAGAACACGGTGCTTGTAGAACACAGCATTTCTGTTTTCAGCAATGAGTCGTCATAGTTTTATTACGTATTTGAACTATTGACCAAAAGTTAGAGCAGGTTCCTCCAAAATGTCAAATGTTATCAACGGGACAATAAGTTCTGACGTAAAAGTAATCTCACCCAATTTAATGACTTGGGAAACACTGTAACAGTTATTTTCCTACATCACATCAGTATCAGAATAACTTGAATCTAGTGTTCTGAAATATGCCCCCATTTGGTTTTAGTTGCATTGTGTAGGATAGTCCAAGTTCAAATCCTGGCTCTGCCACTTACTATGAGACCTTGGACGAGTTGTTAAATCTCTCTGTGGTTTTCCCATCTGCAAATTGGAGATGATAACAGAATGCATGAAGAGATGGTTGTGCCGAGGTGTTCTAATTCATGGCACAGTGTAAGCTTTCATAAGTTTCGTTATTAATATTGTTTTCATTCTTGGTCATTACACTCAGATCTTGGGTTATCATTGTAACTTCCATGTGTTCTTCATGATGCCAGCTTCTTCCCATTCTAGCTCATCCTACTCGCCCCACACTTGGCCTTGGGTGATAGGGTCAAAAAATCGGCTTCGTATTATGTGACACTGGCTTAGACTCAAGGTCGCAAATGTGCTTTGTGCTGCTTTCCTCCTGAATTATACTTAGACCACTTCATGCTTCACCAAAAGGGCCTGAGCCTGCGCCAGCCTGCACACTTCTGTAACTTCAGTAATCACTAACGTGAATATGATGTTTCATTGCTCAGAAATCCTTCATTATTCCCACTCCATACAAAGTAAGACCAGATGCCTTGAATAATAATGGTTGCCACTAATGGAGTTAGTGCCGGATAATGTATTTGGGCTTTGAATTTATTATTTCATTTTATGTATTTTTTTAATTCTCAACAACCCCATGAGTAATTATCCATCCCTAATTTACAAATGAGAGTGAGTCTCCGTGAAGTGACTTGGTCAATGTAACACTCAGAAACTGGTAAATCTGGAAAGTGACCCTGGGTTTGACACCTGCAAAGCCTGTGCTTTCAAAGCCTGAAGGAACACCACCTTTTCAGCCTTGTCTGCGAATTCTTGGTCATCCAGGTGAGGAGACCTGTCCTACCTCTCTCTAAATTGCCGCCCAGACATCTGTGTTTTATTTGCTCCCTGAACGTGCCATGTTCTTTGAAATTTTTGGCTCCCCCCCACCCGCCTTGCTGTTTGTTCTCTTCGTCTGGGTTATGTTTCCCTACCTTTCAATGTATATATATCTGTTCAGATGCCACGTCATCTGTGGCCTTCCCCTTCCCTTTCTGCTTACTCTTCCTCCAAAATGATTGTTCAGATTTATCTTAGTAATTCGGAGAATAGTCATTTTTAAAGTCTTTAATTCTGATGCCACGTCAGCTGTGGCCTTCCCCGATTCTGCTTACTCTTCCTCCAAAATGATTGTTCAAATTTATCTTAGTAATTCGGAGAATAGTCACTTTTAAAGTCTTTCTGTTCCATAGTATTGTTAGTTCTTTGAAAGCAGAGACCATATACTTTTTCATCTGTCTTCAAGCACAAACTTTGATAGTGCTGATAATTATAGTGACGATTATGATGACGATGGTTACTATTTGTTAAGTATTTCCTCTGTGCCACATACTATGCCAGGTGCTTAATGTACATTTTCTTGGTTTCACAGACTCCAAGAGACACACTTTCAAGACATTTGTTTACTTAACTATAAAATGAAAATGATGACATTGATGATTTTTGTCGAGTTGTTAGGAAAGAAGGGGCCGAGATTCACAGGTTCATGTCCAAAAAAATGCTCTTTTCACTAAACTGTACTATCTTTTAACTTTGCACATAGTAGATATCCAGGAAATATTCGTGGCATTCTAGTTTTTCGTACCCCAGTTTTGCCATTTCTGATACATATTAAGGATACTCACAGGTAAAACTAACAAATGACTTTGTAAATTTAGGAAATGCTTAAGCCAGTTGTCCACAGCATTTTGCAATTTTTTATTCCTAAATACGAATAATTTCTTTTCTTTAATTGCCATAAGTTGTATTGACAGATGTTTTAGAATGCATACTAAGAGATATTCTTAGTGACATTGTAGAATTTTGTTCTCAGCAGTTTTTAAAAAAATTTCTGTGGTCTTATTAGGGTGTGGGATTTGGGCCTTGGCCTAGGTGGTTTATTGTCGGAAGCCTCATGAGGATCTGGTTACAACAGAACCTGTGTAATTCAGGGCTTTGTCACGGATCCCCAGGGCCTGTGTAAGTGAGGCTTCTGGTGAGTAACCTCTTAACAGTCATCAATAGTCATTCATTGGCATCATCATCAAATAAATGGTTTTCCTGAGATGGTCCACTTGGGACAACAAGAGAAGGGATTCTAATACTGGGTAGAAAGTTGTACAAAATATCCTCTTTGAATCTTCTTAGTCTGCACAGTTCTTTATTACCCAAGCATTCATATTTTATCTTTAGAGTAGTGTGATATTCTAACCTCATATTGAAATTCTGTCACAGACAAAGTGGTAGAAAGAACATGGCTTTGAAGTTTGCACTGTTATAGATGTTTGTGGGCATCTTATAGCCCTTCCATGGAGCCTAATTCCTTATCTGTAAAATGGAATTTACTTGGACAGCATGGTGACTATCGCTTACAACACTGTACTGTATATTTGAAAGTTACTAAAAAAGTAGATCTTAACAGTTCTCATCCCAAGAAAAAAAAAGACGTGATGGATGTTAACTAAATTTCTCATGGTACTCATTTTGCAAAATACACATATATCAAATCATTATGTTGTACACCTTAAACTCATACAATGTCACATGTCAATTATATCTCAATAAAAGTGGTGGTAAAAATGAAAGTAAGATGGAATTTATAATATCTCTTTTACATAGTTATTGTCAACCGGTAACAGTTTACATAAATTTACTAGAAGAATGCCCAACACTATTAGTATCATTAATGGAAATAAGCATACTACTTATTACGCTTTCTGTAACTCATTCTGTAAACTTTATGTAACTCATTTTAATATGATACTGTTTAAAAATTAAATTCATTTTACATAGTTTTAAAATACCTAACATGGTTTGCTGTAAACCATTTAAAACCATTAAAAATTTTTCTCTCAATAGGAAAAAAGTAAAGTCATCCACTGAGCAAGTGTTTAAGTCCATTGTCGCGTTTGATTACTGGACGTAAAAGACATAAGCGTTTCTGTCACCTTGATTTTGCCCTGCAGGGAAGAGCTGGTTTCCTCCGAGGACCTGCTGGAGTGGCTGCGGCCTTTCTGCGCTGATGACGCCTTGCCCGTGAGGCCCCGCATCTACGTGCTGCAGATCTTGGGACAGTCCTTTCACCTGAGTGAGGAGGACAGCAAGCTCCTGGTGTTCTTCAGAACAGAAACCATTCTCAAAGCCACTTGGCCCCAGAGACAGGTAAGGGAGCATCTCACGTTTATTGAGTGTTTTCCCTATTAATAATAACTAGAGGTCATTTCTTGATGACTTTAAACTGCCTTCAAGTAAATAATTAGCATGATAATGCAGACTTCTGGTATGTTCATCAGCCCAGCTATTTAGAAGTTAAATGTATGCAACAAAGTTGCCTCTGTTTTTCTATGTACTTGAATAGGGATATGCAGAGTAGATGATGTCTTCTTACTCCTCTCCACGCGTGTATTATTTTTCTCCTCATGAGATATAGTCAAGGTTTTTCACAGTATCAGTTAATCATGGCGGCGCACCCTCTCCCCGGAGAAATGCAGATCTGAGTGCAAATGTGCCGTGCGGTTTAGCTGATTCATTTACCTTGTGCTCTGCCCAGGTACCCAGGGCCCTCTCTTCTCTTCTCTGCCTAGATGGAAATGATGTCACAGACACACAGGATCTTAGTTTCTCCGTACCATTCATCCTTCAAGCCTCACTCAGTCCATCTTTTCTCTAGAACCTTCCCTATTTCAAACCTAAGCGAACTTTGAATTCCACGCATTTGAGCTTGCTTGCTTGCTTTATTTATTTATTTATTCATTCATTCATTTATTTATTTATTTATTTATTTTGTTTCCTTTCTTCTTTGTTGTTGTTGTTGTTGTTGTTGTTGTTGTTGTTGTTGTTGTTAAAAGTTTTATCTCCCCGGTCCCGTGAAAACTGGGAAGCCCTGGAGGGTGTACTTACTCTCTTTTGAATCACTCTAAGGATGCTGTGCACTTACTCAGAGCTTACATACTACTGATCGAAGAAAAGGGAATGCTAATTCCTAAACCCAAGAAACATGATGGCCCTTGAAGTGTGGCTTAAATTCTATGTTGTGTCCTAAAGGCATAGGATCTCAGAGGCCGTAACCACAGTCAAATGCTTTAGCATGCAGAGTAGACCGTCTGCTAATAAAAGTTAGAAAATAAGACCTTCCCGGATAATCTGATCTGCAGAAGAGTTTCCTGGAAGTCTGACTCCAGCTCAATTTACCTTCTCATTTTAAAGCTTTACTTTATAACTTATATTCTTATTACTATGTTCAAAGAACAATTTCTTTTTAAAAAATGTATCAAATATTCTTGAGACTCATCGCAGAGCATCTTCATAATTGTCATCTTATACATTCTTATTTCCCTCTATGAGATAAATAGGTAAATACTATCATCTAGTCTTTGGAGTTCTAGAAATTGAGATTCAAAAAAATATGGATCTTGCCAAGTAGCTGAAATGGGTTGCGTTAAAAACCACTAATCTGAATAATACTCTCTGTGAACCACTATATAACCTTATCAACACATTTAGTTTCATCATCTTACCTTGAATTCCATCAAGCGACCACTAATAGCCTTTAAAGAGTAATTTATGAACACAAATGCAGTAAGCTATAAAATCTATTCCAGGTCTTTGACAGGGTAAATGTCAGAGGCATGCTTGTTTTCAGCACATACGAGGGTCTGTAGCATCCCTGAGGTAAGCTCTAAATTCAGCCATGTTGTTTTGCCATGTGGATGGAACTTTAGAGTCTGACTCATCCTGAAGCAGACGAGTGCTCCCACTGTCACGTACTGGCTGACAGAACCTCCATTTTTTAAGTTCTCAACCTTCTCAATTTCATCTTCCTCGATGGCTGGAGCCTGGCAGGACGATGAGGCTCGTTTCTCTGGTTGGAGCTTCACTTCATGTTATGTCAAATTTATAGACCGAAAATATCACGAGGCACCATAGAAACCGGGTAAAGGAAAAAATATCCGTCTCATTTATCACGTTAAAGCACTAGAACGTTCACTTTAATATTTGGTCTTAAATACTTCAGAAATATTATGTTTCTTCTTTTAAGTGTTTCTCAATGTTCCAGTTACTCTAAAAACAAGCTGCAGTTTTCATATAATTTCAATGATTTCTGGAGATTTCTGAGATTTTAATTTCTTTAGAGCTTAACTTCTCCCAGACCCAGGATGTAAGGCAGCTTGGCTTAGAGTTCCTTTTCATGCACTTTCTAAATGGACTTGACTTTATTGCACTGAGTGCAAAACATTTTCTCTCGTTTTGCAAAGTCCATACGTAGCTCCTCATTTCATCACTGCTTCCTGAGCGGTGCAGACTTTTCCAGGCCTTCTAGAAAACACCTCTCCCAGACGTCTTATGACTCTGGTAGAAAGTCATCTCGTGTCCCCTCCCTTTTGCTTTCCCCTGTGTAAGAGGTTTCCCTGTTCTTGGCACCTCATGATTTTCTTAAAGTATTTAGTGATGGAAATAAAACTATCGTAACGCCTTAATTATACCAATTCATGTATAGCCTTCTCCAAAAATAAGTTAGTGAATGTCTTCTCCTCCTCTAGGAATTTAGGATTCTGTGTCAGCCTGCCATTACTGATTCAGATCTATTCTGAAGGGGGAGCGAATGTGGTAGGGGAACTAACTCTGTCTACGTAGCAAACAATTGCCTGCTCTGTGGAGAATGAATGCAGAAAAACTGTGGCTTCAGAATGGACATGGAAGCTTCTGGAATGTCACAGAACTATGCCCATCGTTGAAATCTGAGGTCGTTTCTATTGTTTTTTAAAAACTGTGTTACTTTTCCCCAGAGCAGTGAAAGATCCAGGCGCTAATGGGTAAATCACACGCCTGTGTCCACCTTCCCTCCATTGTTGCTTTATAATCTTGGAGAAGATTCTTAACCGGGAATCTTGGCCACTTGGTGTGTAAAATGAAGCCTTGAACTAGAGGAGATATCGGACGATTTGCTCACTTCGTCTGGCATTTCTTCCACACTTAAAACTGTTGTCTTCATTTTCATTCATATACCAAACACCTGGAAGACCCCAAAATGTTGATTGCACGCATTGTCATTTTTAAAAATTTCTCCCTATCCCCTTTCTCCATTCTCAAAGGATAGAGACGTTTCTTACAAGTAAAGGTAAGAATGGATAATGACATTTCAGTGTTCAATTACTGGAAGATGCGGAGCCGCTGCCTCTGCTGTGGCGGGTAACCCTCTCAGGCCAACTCTGCATACATCAGAGAGGGGCTTAATATTTAATTATCCTCCAGGTGCCCAGCATCGTGGCCCCACAAATCAGTGTGTTGCTGGGAAACCAGCCAGCTCTTGCAAAATTAAACACAGAGCCTGTGGAGCCTGCTACCTTATTCGTTCTCAGCTAGGCAGCAATTTTTTTAGTTTTCTAATGATTAGTTAACAGAATTAAAAATTCAGAGGCCCTCATTTTTCAAAAGCTTGGTAGACCTTCATTTCTATTCCAGAAATGTGCCCCAGCTTGGCGAGGGGCAGAGGGGGGGATTGGGGTGCGGGGAGAACCTAAAGTGGAGAGGGAGGAGGAGGATGCATTGTGTCAGTCTTCTAGGTACAATTTATCTGAGTCTTTCAGGTTTTGTAATTTTCTAGTTAACTGGTGCATGAAAAATATGGGTCAACTTGCTTATGTTTCCTTAAAAAATTCCATACTGCATCACCTCAGATTTTTTTTTTCCCCCTGTTTTTATGTTAAAAAGAACATGTGGCTTGGAGTTTCAAATGCCTTTTAAAATTTCAACTTCTAATTGTGTAGTTGTAAGTGATCACCAGAAAGAATTAGTTTAAGACACCTTCTAACCTCATTACAAAGACATGTATTTTTCCTGCTTTGAAACATGCAAAGACATATTACCTATCCGGTCAGAGGCCAGTTTGGCTTCATTTGCAAAAAAAAAAAAAAAATATCCCTAGTGCCTAAAATAAGTACTTTGACGCTATTCTAATTTCGTATTTAAGATACACCAGCCAGAACGTCGCTGGCATTCCAGGGGCAGTCACACTACAGATTTAAATGATAATGGAGTACTACTTCATTAAAAAAAAAAAAGAAAAAGGAAAAAAAAACACACTTCCTTGTCAGACAGAGCTTAGACAAATAATAGAAAGGTTTAGTTTGCAAAGCAGTATTTCCTTACAAAGAATTTACTGTTACCTTGAATGTCTTCAAAACTAAGGCTCGCTGCCATAAGTGATTTGCTTAATCAAATATTGGATAATAGTTGATGTTAAAAGTATACGTGCGTGCATACACATATAATATATCCTCCTTAATAGCCATTAAACCAGATTCCTAGAACTGGAGAGTTTTAAAAGCATCTCAGTTCTGTAGTCATATTTGTAGAAAAGGAGATGGATGTCCAGAAAGGAAAATTTCAGATTTGAGCTTAAATGTGATGATTTCTAAAAAGACTACATTCTAAATTTGTGACCCAGTCACAGTTTATTTTATGACCCGTGTAATTCTCTTCACCACCATCTGCTAACTTCTCCCTACCTGTCCTCCGTCTACTTATTATATGATGTCTGTTGTCTTCCATTAGAATATAAATTCCATGAGAACAGGGATCTCACAGATACTCATTAAATAGTTGTTGAATAGATGAATATTTAATCTTAAACTTGTCCGGTGTCACCTTTAAAATGGCAGGGTCAAGAGCAAGAGTGCTGACACTCATCTGACATCCTCGCCCTCAGTGCTGAAGGGCGAGATGGCGCTGCTCCCCGTTACATATGAGCAAACGACTTGCTTGGGATAATGGAGAGGTTTCCTTAAGGAGTGGTCTGGTGCTTTCAGATCGATACTGTTTTATGTTAATTTCCCATAATTTGCTGAAAGTGATTTTTGGCCAGGCAGTTGCTTCTCTTGTGGAAGCAAACAAGTCACAAGCATGTTTGTCCAGATGTGAGCAAGAGATCTGAAATGTTAGACTAGACCTCGATGGGCCTTTTTTCCTGAAATAATTAAAGAAGAGAGAGAGCACCAGTGTTTACTGGGTCCTTCAAATATTTGAAGACCTCGAGAGTCTCTTTTTACAAGTAATGGGTTCTTTTTGTTAAAGATTTGCCCTCCTGTCCCTGGCATCACTGGGAGAAGAGGGGTCTGTGGGATGTGTACTAAGTGCACGTTACTGCAGCTTGCAGAGCCGTT